CTGTGGAGCAGCTCTCAATTCAGGCAATGACTTTAGCAGGTGATGACCCAGAGAAGATTTGTCAGAAGGATTACTGTCCTTTTCCTGTGGTCCACATTTTGCCATATAGCATCCACTGGAAGCCATTCAGGAGTCATTTTAACAGCAGACAAAACGCTATTTAATTTTCATTGTAATCTGCAAAGCCTCTCATGGCTTGTAACCTGCTCTGGGTTTTATATATCCTGCCCCCCCCCCGTCCTCCAGTCCCTCCTCAATTATTCTTAGCTGCTTTGATTGATTGTCTTCAGCTGCAGCTAGAGCTCCGCCAGCCAGTTTTTAGAATTGGTTCCAGCATCAATTCTCACTTTGAAAAACATGACATTTAAAACCGACATTTTCGTTTTCCTACATATGGATCTGATGGTTGCTTTACGGATTGTTTTTGCTGCCATTCTCTTGGAATAGTGAGACTCGTTTGGACGCCACATCCTCTTGACCTCAGGACACCTTTATTTGAGTGCTGTGGTAACAGACAGGCTGGATTTATGAGATAGGATCAGTGTTAATAGCCGATATTAATACTCCCATTGGTTTCCAGTAGTAAGAGAGTGCCAACATTGTCTGCAGTAAGTCAGTCTAGAAATATTACTGCTCTGTGAATCAACACTACATGTCTCGGGCTTAATTTATGGAATTACAATGTGGAAATTTCTTAAATCACTTATGTTCTCTTGAGTTCTTTCATTATCTTTGTCTAGTATAATTTGTCTTTTGGCAGGTGCATAGGCCCTTACACAGTCCTAGAACAAGGCACACCCAAATTATCTGTCCCTTCTAATCCAAAGTTAAAATCAGGTATTCCTGTTGTTTAGAACACTGGTTCTTAACCTTGGGTTACTCAGGAGTTTTGGACTGCAACTCCCAGAAGCCTTCACCACCAGCTGTCCTGACTGGGGTTTCTGGGAGTTGCAGTTCAAAAGCATCCGAGTAACAAAGGTTAAGAACCACTGGTTTAGAAGGTCACATACAATGTTAGTGAACACTCTATGGTTACTTTAAGTGGTAAAGGAGCAATCTTGCTCACTTTCTAAAGGATAGGTGGGGGAGCTAGGAGACACGGTAGACTGTCGCTGATGACAGGACAAGAAGCAGTGGGTTTCACGTACAGGAATGATAATTTAGATTTAAGCACAAGAAGAAACCATTTGATTGGTGCACGCACACTTACAGGTGGTATTTAGTGGAGGGACGTGCTCTGTATAGAGATTATAGAACTGTCATTTATGGAAGTTGTCAAGAAAAGTCTGGAAAGTGTCTGTTGTGGATATAGTCAGTGCAGAACATGAAGTACGTATTTTGAGAGGGAGCCATATAAGAAATTTGCTGATTAGCTTCGACCTCTAATATATGTATTGATCTTCTAAACAAAAGTGAAGATTGAAAGGAATTGAAGATTTATCATTGCTGGTCTTTAAGTATTGATATTGATTGAAGATGTGCTGAGCTACTTTTGTGGGACTCAGCTATTCTAATAGATGTCATGATCCTTTAAATTAATTACCATTGTGAATATCCCTTCAATTTCAAAGTGCCTAATATGCTTTAGGTTCTTTAAACTACTTTTGGATAGTTTGAAATTATGTAGATTTTTGACTCTTTTTGGTTTTTTTCTGTCTCGGGCAAACTTGCGATATCTTGCTTTCTCATCTGTTACATCCGCACTAAGTTATTTACTGCACAACAGGAGTAGGCTCGACAGATGGGCTGATCATAATTAAAATATTGTAAAAATCTGAGCAAGAAGGAACCAAATGGAGAGCACGCATGGAGCAGAATCCTATTTTTGACACCAGTACACTTGGCCATGCATGACAGCAAACTAATGAACACTGCATTCTCAATGCATAAGGCATTCCTATTATTGCTAAATGACCCACTTTGGGTGACCTATCCTAGAAGCTTAGGAAGCAGCAATTTTGTCGCTTTCTGAGTACTCTTAAGAACTATGAAGGAAAAGGCATTGAGGCATGTGCACATACTCTTATTTTACCCTCTTGCTAAACCAAAAAGTGAACGTTGCATTTTTCTCTACTGGATTATTGCTTCTGTCATCTCATGCCACACAACACGATAATTTCTTACTTTCAAATGTAGACCATGATAGCATAACTCTGTCCTGCATTAAAAGGAAAAACCAAAGAATGAATTGCAGTGCTTTTTTCCAGCCTCTTAATTACCTCTGTGTTTCCTTTCTGTACATTCTGCCACTGTGTTTCCTGGTCAAACATATCTTGTTGGCTGTTGTATCTACTTGCAAAGCAAAGGGGATGATCATGTTTCAGTGTAACCTGTGCATTTCTTTAGGGAAGGAGGGTGGTTCTTTGGTGAACTCTAGTTTTCATCAATGGGATTTTATTTAGTCATGAGTAGTTACAGTCCTGTTGATCAGTAGATTTGCTTGAAGCATGGCTAAGCCTGTAGTGATTAGAATCCTGTTGCAATGTGGACAGCGTTGTGGTGGAGATCATAGAAAGTGCCTGTTGGCATGAATAGGTGAATTCTGTTTGTGTAATGATGAACAGTATGCCTTCTTAAGCAAATTCTGCCATTTGTGAAATTAGTTGTGCAACAAACCAGTACACAAACAAAAAGGGTCAACGGAATCGAAACTAGCATAGATTTTGGACTGAAATCCCACCTTCACCTGACTGCTACAATAATCTAAACCATGCAACACATTCACCACCTATTTACATCTAGCAATGACTGTGGTCATTATTATATGGATTGAGGCAGAAATCCGTACGTTTGCAAACTGCTCTATACCTCAGTATTTTGATAGTTTGTGCCAGCAGGTTATGCTGCCAAAAGAACTCAGCAGCAGAGCCTTTCCTTCTCAGTAGAGGCAACAGCACACTTTCATTACACATGCCATCAACTTGCTGTGGGACATTGGAATCAAATGGATTTGGGCCATTGAATTTTTCAGATTAAAGAGAGCTGTGGGCTTGAAGTAGTTAATGGCAGATTTTCAAGCTTGTACTGCCTTTCCTGCATTGAACACACTGCAGAATATGAATCGGATTTGTCCTAGTATCATTTACTTTGTGCAAACTCCTGCTGGCATTTAGGTATCAAGTGTGAGATACTCCAGTAAGTTATTCTTTCTGTTTGCCTCCTGGTGCAGGTTACAGGCTGCAGTTTCTCTTCTTTCTACCTCCACCATATTTCTCATGAGAAGTAAAGAGGTTTTGTCTGTCACTTTCACCTTATTTTCCATTTTTGACTATTCAATGCAGTCATGGGCTCCATCCTTAATATTGAGCCTCTAAGTTTAGAATGAAACACATTATATGGGTGGTTAAGCAATTCACACTAATTTGCCAGATGGAACATGTTTTTGTGAAAGAAAAATAATCAGGGAAAAACACCAACCGATAAATATTTACGTTGGAAACTGATAAGGTGGTATAATCTTTTCCATATAATTTTCTGCAATAAAAAGATAGATTTTGTGACCAAGGAAATGTTCATAAAATAAAATAAAAAAAAAACAACTCTAACATTCCACAGTGGTAAGGACCTTTTTTTTCATTATGGAGTATAGACTAACTCAGCAAAAATCAGATTTTGCACAGTGGTGACTTTGCAGTGAAAAAGACACAACATGTTTAAAAATCAACCAAAGAAAAATGAAACAGATGCTGAAACAGATGTAGGTCTTTTAAAGGCCATGCCACCAGCCTAGTCAGACAATGCTGGCATGATGCTGCATAACTGGTGGGTTGGGAGTCCTGCTGAATCGCTGTGCTGCCTTCCAAAGTGGCCTGTTACTTCCTGTGGATTCATGTTCTGTTTCACTGCCTGACACCCAGCAAAGCCAATGAAGAGCAGAAATAGTAATGTATTGAACCTTCACAATATACATAGGAAGTGCCCTTTATTGCAGAGAGTAAGCATTTTGCTTTGCATAAGAAAAATATCATGGGCAATTGCCTGCATGCTTAGATTTTAATAGGCAAAGCCCTTCACAGCCCATAGCCCTGTTCTTTGCTTTGTGGTCCTGAAAACACCAAATTTCACCATTTCAGAATTCTTTCTGAGCATAAATAGGAAGAGATAAACACTTGGCTTCCAGCTATTAGGACATATTTATGATAGAAATCTCTTCCCTTGGTGGGTTACGACACTTTGTGGCCAGTCTCATTCATTAATATTTTTGCAGTAATTTTTATTAATAAAAATTATTTATAACTCACATATTGGCTCCTGAAAGAGTCCCCAGGATGGCTTGCACTTATACAGGTTAGTGTGTGTTAATACATTATTTTCACTGCACAAAGCATAACCAACTGACACTTTCTCCTTGTCCAGGGTGGGGTGCCAGTTTGGCTAAACAAACTTTGGTACTCAGGCCTGGACGTCACAGATAGACGGAATAATGATTGATCTCTACAGATGTACAGAAGATGCTGAGTCAGTGCTGCTCTTTTTTAATGTTGCTAAAGAAAAATAATAGCCGCTCAGAGTGGTTGCATAGACAAGATGGCCGGGATACAAATCAAATAAATAAAATAAAAATAATCACATATAATTATTGAAAAAATAGTAGATTAAATAAACTATGCCATGATAGTCAATAGTCTAGGTAAATTCTTCAGCACTTGCAGATTTTGGGATTTTTTAAACCTTTTTTTAGCAAGACAAAACCTTTTCAACGCCCAGTTTCAATTTTAGTTCTTGCATCAAGATATAGCAAGGGTGGACTTTGGTTCATTGATTTTAAATTCAGCTTTGGATTTTAAAAAAGGACTTTTAGGCCAAGATCAATTTAGGAGCAGCCCAAACCATGGCAACATGGTACCCTATTACCACTAGAGATGGTAGGGACAGGGCTTTTTCAGTTAAAAAATGTTTTTGATGGAAAATATTTTGAAGGGTAAAGTGATGGGTAGAAACAACCCTCCAAGATCTGAAGTGGGTGTG